AGTTGAGGTATACCTATGATGAAAATTACAGGCCTCTCTCATCTTTTTAAGTGAGAGAACTGGCACAATTGCTGGCTGACTAAATACTTTTTTGCCCCACTGTACTTCTGTCCAAGCAAAGCAGTTGATTGGGACAGAGTGGTTCTGTCTAGAACCTTTCAAACAAGTTTGGAACAACCCTAATTTTGCATCCACTGTCTTGGTAGAGAAAAAGAAGGATATTCAGGCATGTGGTAAGGGCATTTTTGTAAGCTTTCTGAAACTGACAATATGCCTGAATGCGTCTTGGTTGGAACTGGTTCCAAGCACTTGAAATGATTTAAGCCGGAATCATTACCCAGAAGTGGTTTTAGATGCTTTGCAACCTGAATACACCCAAGTTGCTAACTTGTGTTCCTCATTGCTATGATTGCAGAATCACCATTAGCAGACACTTGTGCAGTGCTGATTTTACTTAGATTCTTACCAGTTATTTTGTTCATATCAGTCAGTGAACTCAAACCTGATTAATTCCACAGGATTCCCATAATAACTTTTTTCTGAACTAGAATCTCATTTAATCACATTAGCAGCAGTTTCAGTTTAAGTTCTTGTGCCTTCCTGATTAACATTTGCTTGTCACCCTACCACTAGCATACTAGCTTCAGAGCTGATTTCTTGGACCTAAACATCTCACCATCTGCCTTCTCCCCTTCCATGGGCTTTCTAATTGAATCTGAATCTAGCATAGATTTCCTTCTGTAGACTCTATTTCAGAAAGGATAACTACATCCCTCTCCACTATCCAGACACATGTATACAAATCTCTCTCTGTCTCTCTCTCTCTTCTGGCTAGTGGTAGAACTTGGCCAACTTTGGATGATCTCAAAAAGCTAAACACGTGGACATATCAACATTAAGCTCACCTCAAGGGAAATTTTTCTACTGTGTATACTTGCGTATAAACCCATCTGTGGATAAGCTGACCCTTGAATTTTTAACTAAAATACCATGAAAAATGTGCCACCCGCAGATAAGCTGATTCACAATTTTCATGGTATTTTGGTTAAAAACTCGATGCTTTGCTTATCTGTGGATGGGCTTATATGCAAGTATATATGGGAAGTATGGGTACTTTAAAAAAAGTATTACCGTATATACTCATGGATAAGCCCATCTGCAGATAAGCTGAATCCAATTTTTTGGATGTATTTTGGCCCCTAAAATTCTCGGCTTATCAGTGGGTATATATGGTAAGTCTGTTTTTGAACTTAATTTAAAACAATATACTACACTACACTATTTTAAAAATACAACTTATACTAAGGGTCTGTTTTTACAACATAATCGATCAGGTCAATGGGAGGGTAGGGTATTGTGGGAACATCAAAAAGGGGGTAATTAAACCACTCAATCCAAGAATACCACAGGTGGAGAAGATGTATCCTTTTGTGAAGCACATGGAGTTTTATGCCCAGGCTGGAAAAATCTCACACTTTTTGAGGATTTCTGGGAGTTGAAGTCTCGAAACATCTGAAGGATACCAGGTTAGAGATGACTGAACTAGATCAATTAAAGTCATTGGGGAATACCTCTCTTGTTTTTTCATTTTGTCTTGTTTTGTCCTCAGAGCCTTCTTTGTAGCATTTTGGCCACCGCCCTATGGATATCCTTGTTCCTCAGCGTGTAAATGACAGGGTTGAGCAGGGGAGTGACCACAGTGTAAAAGACAGCAATTTGTTTCTCACGACTGGGAGCTGCATCAGTCTGTGGTTTCAGGTACATAGAGATGAGGGTGCCATAGAACAAGGTGACCACTGCCAAGTGGGAGGCACATGTGGAGAAAGCCTTCTGCCATCTAGCAGTTGACCTCATATGGAACACCATGAACAGGATGAGTGCATAAGAGGTCAAGACAACTAAAAGGGGACCAAGGATAACGAGCACTGATGTCCAAAAAAGAATAATTTCTGTTACCCGAGTGTCACCACATGCAAGCTTCACTACCAAGGGCAGCTCACAGAAAAAGTGGTTGATATGGTTGGGCCCACAGAAGGAGTGCTGAAAAGTCAAACTTATATTTACAGCTGCGATTAGGAAACAAACTGCCCAGGAAGCAGTTGTTAGCCTCCATTGGCGCCCCTTGTCCATAGTTATGGCATACATCAAGGGATGACAGATGGCCAAGTAGCGGTCATAGGCCATGACAGCCAGCAAAAAGCATTCTGTGCCACCAAAGGTTGTGGTTATGTACACCTGGATTGCGCAGCGGGTAGAGGAGATGATTCCATTACCTGACAGGAGGTGAGCCAACATTTGGGGCACAGTGCTGGAGGTGTAACAGATCTCCAGGAATGAGAGGTGG